AGGGCGATTGGTACAGAGTCGGATAGTCAGCGTAGCGGAAAATCATATCCTAGTGTTCTGTTACATCGGTCATATTAGTATGCCTCCGACCGATGAACCGATTCCTTACCGACGCACCGATTCCTCATCGCTTCCACTGTAGTTCAGCCACCAACGCTCATCTTCTTCACTCTGTCTGGAAGGTAGTTTGTGGGGTGACGGGCCGGCCCACAACTAGACTTCTAAAGCGTCTAGTTCATGGTACCGAGCACTGGAAATGACGCTCAACATATCTGCTAGTAGAGACCGTTCACAATACACTGGCGTTGGTGGCTGTACATGTGAAGATGCTGTGAATCCACATGTGGACCTCGCAGCTTGTGTAATGCGATGATTTTACCGTATACAGTTACTCTATGATATGTGTATTATTGCTGCAGAATGCTGCCAAGTTGCGAGAAGGTCGCTAGAACAGAATGTGCATGCAGGATTTTGTGTATGTGGTGGCATCGTCGGGTAAAAAGGCAGTGCCAAGTTGGAGCAGCAAAAGAACATATAAAGAGCATGAGTTCCGTTAACAAATTCTGTTCACAGCACACAAAATCATCAGATTAATTCAACAGAGTCTCTTTACAACCGTCACCATGAAGTTCGCCGCTCAACTCTTCACCGTCGCCGCTCTCTTGGGCGCTACGCTCGCCGCTCCCGCCGGTATGCCATCCTTGTTGTCCAAACATATGCAGAACACTGTAGTCAAAGATTCACTAACAAAACCCTTCAGCTGACTCCAACACTATTGAAGTTCGTGACGCGCTCACCAACGAGGTTATGGAGGGTATGGTACGTTGAGCCTCTACTCCTACTGACAGTAAAGCAACATCCAAGAACGCTACTGACTCCAATAGGCTATTGACAAGCGCCAAGTATGCTACTGCTACGGAGGATTCTGTACTCCCGGGTGCCACGACAAGGTCAAGCGTCAGGTCTGCTACTGCTACGGAGGCGTGTGCACCCCTGGATGCCACTAAGCAGATAGCATGAATGAGACATGATTTTATGAGAAAACACTAAAACCTGTCTCCCGTACTTCTAGCCGAGTATTGATGATAGTTACTATATTCTCTGCAACTATACCCAAGTATCCTTACGTATCACAGGAGTTCATCCCTCCAAAACCATCACCATAATCATAGCCAGAACTCTCATTGTGAACATCACCCTCATCATCATTATGGAAACTAGAACGGCCTTTTGACTTGAGACACGCCACGATTTCCCATTCGACCCTTCTCAATCCAAAAATCCAACATCTTACTCTTCTCCCCCCTCCACACAACCTCATCTCTCCCAAGCGACAGATACCCCATCTCCTGCGTCTCTTCCACTCGCCTCTCCGTCGCCAGCTTCACAATCCCCATCCACTCCTCCCCCTTCTCTTCTCCCTTCTCCTCCCACAAAATTTTCCTAAGCTCAGGAAGATACTGCACGCGCCCCACACAATACATCTTGATCTCCGTTTTGATAGGGCGCTCATCAAACACTTTACCTGGCTCTCCCAACTCCGGCTTGATTAGCTTTTCTGCAGCCTCCTTGGCATCTCTCCATCTCCCGTGTTGGAATAATTGCTCGAGTGTTACTAACCTCGGCTGCGTCTGCTCAAAACATTTATCGAGACTGACAAGGTAGTTCCGTGCGCACCCCGCGTACCGCGCCGCACACTCCATAAGCTGGATATCGTGCACACCCTGCAGCGATACTGCGTACTGTGCGAATAGCGCGGCTGAGGCGTTGCGGGAGTCGAAGAAGACTTTGGGGATATCTGCGTCTTCGAAGATGGATTTTAAAGTCTGGGCTTGGAAGTTTGGGGGTATGAATCCGGACGTGTGGTGGGTGCTGGGAGTAGTGAATGCAGTTGCGCCTAGTTGGAGTATGTCGACGAGGTAATAGGTTGATGAGAAGAGGATGGTAAGGAGGGAGATTGGACCTGCACGGTTGAGTTTTGCGCCTTGCGCGTCGATGTAGAGGGGTGAGTTGGGGAGGTCTAGGTTTCGCAACTGTTTGTATTGGCGAGAGATCAGATTCACTAGGTATTGGATATCGGCTTGGGAGTCGATAATCTCGAGTGTAGTAGTTGACATGGTGAGTAACGGATAGAGTGATCACTTGTAAAATTCGGCGAACACGAGCGAAGATTTGTACGACTGGGACGGATAGAAGTGAGTAGTTTGAGGTAGAAGAGGGGTTCACTGACCGGTTGGCAAATGCTGTGTAACCATACGCCTGATTTGTGATGTGGCACGGTTGGACTACTACGCTTGCGGCGATGGCCAAACACCAACCCAAACAGTCATTGAGAATACCCCGAATGATTAGCTTAAAATTTCCGAAGTGTTCGACACACATGCTGCCAACCAAGACTTTGATTGGAAAAAAAGACGGGATCAAAAATCGTCATATTACATGCCAGACATGCTCAGTTGCAATATACAGTATTGTACATGACTACACACCTACCACAGCTTCCATTCCCAATCACTCAGTCCTCTCACTGTGCACCTCCTTCTCTTCATCCCTCTTCGTGGCCTCGTATCTCTTGCCGCGGAAAGAGTACACTCCCCAGTTGCTGCACGTGACATCATGAGGGTCAAGGTCGTTGAGATCCCAACGCAAGCTTCGGAACAGATTCTCGCCAGGCTCAAGCAACATATCCATCTCGTTGCCGAATCTCTTGTTCAAAAAGTCGACATCTTGCTGCATGTCCCAAGGGCTGTAACCGGTCGCGATAATTGGAACCTTGGTCTCAAGGAGAAGCGGTAGCGTTTCTTCCCATTCGTGGGCTGAGGCGGGGTTTCCGAAGCCAGGATGGAAAACAACGAAGCAGTCAAAGTAGGGGTCGTAAGGGTAGAAATAGCCCGTCTTGTGGATGTTGTGATAATATTCAACAAAAGTGCTGATCTTCATAGCGTTGCTGATGCGGTCTTCGATTACAGCACCGAAGGGGTTTAGGGGCGTACGCTCGGGGAGGGGCAGCTCCTTCTCGCGGTTCGCCATGCTCTCGGGTCCGATGAAATTCAAAGAGAACTGAACACGATGGAAAAGGTAGGCAAGCTGCATCCATGTTTCGCGGGGCAGTGAGGATTCTGCGCGTGCGCCGAGGATGAACAGGCGGACAGAGGGTGGGGCGATACGTGCATTCTTCCAAGTATCACCACCACCTGTTCGGGGTGGGTGAAGCGTATGACGGAGTGCTGTACCTATGTCAGTACTACACAACCAGTTGAATGAGAATACACATACCGCTAAAGCTCTTCAATCCTTCTGGTGTCATGCGTCCATTCTTCCGGATATTATAGGGACTCAACTCATTGAGAACACTGGCAATGGTCATAGGATATGTCAGGAGCTTTGTCGCCTGCCTCATCTCACGGTCCTCGTTGAGCGCATCAAAATCACGAGTGTACAGGTACGTGTCCCAGCTTGTCATATTGACCAAAATCTCCTCCATTTGGGGCTCAGCGAATTGGAACTCGCGGAAGAAGCGCCCACTCCGCAGATCGTGGTCATCCTCGTTGATCTGCCTCAGCACATCGCAGACTTCTAGATGTGCCTCGTAGTCGTCTGCCCAATGTTCTTCGCAGCAGTATACCGGAATGCCGCAGTCTGGACACTCGAAATCTACGTGCGCAGGTGGAGTACCCGTCTCAGAAGACTTGCGGGCTTCGAGGTCCATGGGATTGTTGACGGCGCGTGTAGGCTGGTGCGAAGGATGCGGGCAGTAGGCATGCTGGCGCATGAAAGCTGCGCGCTTTCGTATTTGCGGGATGGGCGAGTTGGAGAATGAATTGAAGAGATTGTCCTCAGTCAGAACCCTCGTCCGACGAATTCCCTCCGGGTCAATGTATTCATAGGGCTCGAACGGCTTTTCGAATGCTCGCTGCGGGGTCGTAGAGAGGCCGCGCTTTGGCAAGGCTAGTTTTGGCGGTGCTAAACTTTTGGTGGAGTGACTTCGTGATGTCGCCGCGTTCTGGGCCAACGGACGGAGGGCTTGCGGAGAGCGCAGTGAAGCCCGCGGTGTCTTCAGCAGTGAAAGACACTGTCTGCACGTGTACGGTGTCCTCATCTTTGCTATTCCGGCTTCAATTGAGGACGCAGAAGCTGCGATGATCATGGAATCATCGTTCACCAAACTTAGCGCCGCTCGGCCAATCGAACCGCCGATTGGCTGGAATTACCCCTCCAACCGCAACACCCTCACTTGACACTACTACCTTTGTTTCCTCACAGCTTATTCATTTCATGACATAACAGATGAGCTTCTCGAGTCCGGATGCTCGCAGCCACGATCTCTTACCAAGTTCAATACAGATAAGTGGGTAAGATACGTCAAAGATATAGGACATTGCGGACGTTGTGTTCAGTTTGGCAATACTTCCGGGACCAGCAAGCACTGATACAGCGACCGGAACAAGTTCAGCTCAGAAGAGCATCTGGACTACGCTTTATTACCTCTGCGGACGAAAAACGGCTAAGTTATTATGAAACAAAGTGAAAGCATGCCAGCAACCCCAAAACATTGCATGAAGACTTGCAGCACTGCGGCAGTAGTGAAGGCATGAGCAATGGCTCCTTCGCTCCTTCTCAGCCAGAAACTTGCTTTGCAACTAAACGAGCTACAAGATTCCGGAAGGACTACCCAATGCGGGAAAATCCTTGGAGATCGACGAGCATTCGGTTGTATAGTTGAGAAATCGCAGCTATAGAATAAGTACTCCTTCCTGTTCCGACACTCTATCGTGCCTCGTGACCAATAGGCGCCCGTATCGTCGGTAACTATGGGGCAGACCGACTAATACCATTCGCGGAGAATCTACGTACATGACGATCCTCAAAAGAAAACCAATACCCGTCCCTGCAAACAAAGCGGGGAGGACACAAGGTTCATGAACATTTATGTAGAGCTTCATCGCTTTTTGAAGAATGCATGGTTGCTTAGGAACCGTGGGCAAGCTCAATATTCCACAATGCTACCAAAATTGCTGTTACCGCCATTGATATCTGCACTCCTACATGGCACCAGCGCTAAACTGATATGGTCCACTTCACCTGCAAATACTAGCGACGTCATCCGAACCGCTTTACCTGTCGGCAATGGGCGACTAGCTGCTATGCCAATCGGTCCTCCCTCGGCTGAAACTCTTACGCTGAACCTCGACAGCTTATGGTCAGGAGGCCCTTTCGAAGCATCTGTAAGTCTAATACTACACGCTTAGACACATATAGACTAAACATGGTCCAAGAACTACACCGGTGGTAACCCAGAATCATCAATTGATTCCGCACTACCTGGCATTCGAGAATGGATTTTCACCAATGGTACCGGCAATGTGACAAAGTTACTTGGTACCAACGACAACTATGGATCATATCGAGTCCTGGCCAATCTCACTGTAACAATCCCATCCCTTGTTGGCAGCCAGGTTTCCAAATACACGCGCAAACTGGATTTGGCAAACGGCCTCCATTCAACTTCTTTCAACACCAATGACACTGAGCTTGAAACTACAGTTTTTTGCTCTTATCCAGACCAAGTTTGTGTCTACACAATCCAGTCGTCCGGAAGCCTGCCAGCTTTCGAGTTGAAATTGGGTAACCAACTGGTTGAGCCCAAGCTTGAAAACATTACCTGTGCTGCAAATGGTACTGGAGCTGATTCCGGCCATGTGAGGCTACGAGGTATAACCCAACTAGGCCCTCCAGAAGGAATGATTTACGATACAATTGCGCGCGTGTTACCAAATTCCGATTTGAAGACAACTTGCGATGGCAACACTGGAATTCTAAAAGTTACACCTGGAGACGGAGCAAAGAGCGCCACGGTTATGATAGGAGCCGAGACGAATTATGACATGAAGAAAGGCACAGCGGAGCACCAATACTCGTTCCGAGGAAATGACCCGGGCCCAGTGGTTGAGGATAGGATACAAAAAGCATCCACAAAAACTCTCAAAGAACTGAAGAGTAGCCATCTAGAAGACTTCACTTCCCTCACAGGTCGCTTCGAGTTTCTTCTTCCCGACCCCCTGAACTCGGCTCAGGTTCCAACACCGGAGCTGCTCGCAGGTTATGACTCCAACGTTACTTCTGGTGACCCATACGTCGAAAGCTTGCTCTTTGACTATGCACAATACTTGTTGATTTCCAGCTCACGACCAGGCTCCCTACCCACGAATCTACAGGGGCGATGGACTGAACAGATGGCGCCCGACTGGTCTGCTGACTACCACGCCAATATCAATCTGCAAATGAATTATTGGACCGCCGACCAGACAGGTTTGACAGAAACCCAGATGCCACTGTGGGACTACATGATAAACACGTGGGTCCCACGGGGCCATGAAACAGCCATGCTACTATACGGCGCACCAGGCTGGGTTGTCCACAACGAGATGAACATCTTCGGACACACGGCAATGAAAGACGGAGAAGAATGGGCCAACTATCCCGTCGCCCCAGCATGGATGATGCTGCACGTCTTCGACTACTGGGACTACACCCGCGACACCACCTGGTTGCGCACGCAAGGCTACCCACTCATCAAAAGCGTTGCTCAATTCTGGCTCTCCCAACTCCACGTCGACACCTTCACCAACGATAATACCCTCGTCGTAAACCCCTGCAGCAGCCCGGAACACGGTCCCACGACCTTCGGCTGCGCCCACTATCAACAACTCATCCACCAAGTTTTCGACGCCGTCCTGGCCACGCACTCGCTCGCTGGCGAATCCGACGCCGCATTCACCTCTAACGTCTCCTCTACGCTCGCCCGCCTCGACAAAGGCTTCCACGTAGGATCCTGGTCCCAAATCAAAGAATGGAAACTTCCCGACTCCTTCGGCTACGAATTCCAAAATGACACCCACCGCCACATCTCTGAACTGATAGGCTGGCACCCCGGATACTCCCTCTCCTCTTTCCTCGGCGGCTACTCAAACACCACAATGCAATCCGCTGTCCGTAACAAACTCATTAGCCGCGGCATTGGCAATGGGCCCGACGCAAACTCCGGCTGGGAAAAAGTCTGGCGCGGAGCCTGCTGGGCACGTCTGAATGATACGGCACAAGCGCATCTGGAGCTCAGATACGCGATTGAGCAGAATTTCGTAGGAAATGGATTCAGTATGTATAAAGGGGAGCGCACGCCGTTTCAGATTGATGCGAATTATGGGTATGGAGGATTGGTGTTGAGCATGCTTGTTGTGGATTTGCCAGCACCGGCTGAGGGACAGGAGGGGAAGAGGAGAGTGGTATTGGGGCCGGCCATTCCCGAGAGTTGGAAGGGTGGGAAGGTGAAGGGTTTGAGGATTCGGGGTGGTGGTGTTGTGGATTTTGGATGGGATGATGGGGGTGTAGTTAGGGAAGTGACGGTTGTGGAGGACGCGGGGGACGTGGTGTTTGTTAACAAGGAGGGGGATGTGTTAACAGGGTCTTGAGAATGGAGATTATGACGATTTGATGGTTTCCTGAATATTGTAGCACTCAAACTCTTCAAAGATGGAACTCGTGTTTAGTAGGACTTTGAGGAATGGGATCAGGTGCACCAGAATAGAGAGAAGTGATCACTTGTTCGTGATAGGCGAAATAAGGGAATCGAAATTTGAAATTTTTTGTTCAATACTGTAGAACATGCGGTAAACTTATTCCCAGAGTGATAAATTAGTCTTGACATGAACAGAGGGCGAGGGCACTCAATGAGTAGATGCAAGCCGATTGAGTATAATCTTGACTAACATGCGGCATTAACATAATTTAACGCCACATACACACACACACACACACAAATCAACGCGTTCCCAATTCAACATATGTGTGCAAAATTAAGCCATCAACTCTATCAAAACACTCCTTTTCTTCCCACACCGCTTATGCAAATTCAATCCCTATAACGTTCTACCCCCTCCTCAAAACCATCCGCATGCCTCCTCGGTATATGATTATCCCTCGCATCCCACACACTCCAAAAAACCATCTTATACGCCACCACGGCAAAGAACGCGCCAATACACGCTCCGCACGCCACATCAACAGGATGATGCCATCCATCTCTCAGTTTAAACAACGAAAGCGCAACAGCGACCCACAGCGGAGTCGAAAAGACAATGAGTTTCCAGTGCGGAACCGCATCAAAGTATTGATCTGAGAGGGGTTTAAAATTGCATCCGGGACCTTGGAGGGCGCTGTTGGTAACTGCGTTATGGTGTCTGGTATGAAGTCGAGACCGCCCGAGCGTCTTGTAGTGTGCACTGAGCCAAAGCGCGAGGAACATGAAGCCGGCGAATGCGGAGGAGGCGTGGCTGGCTGGAAAGCTTTTTTGCGCTTCGTTGAGGGTGAATTTGTCGGGGTTGGTGCAGAGTTGGTCGACTGTGTAGTATTGGACGAGAGACCGCACGGGGGGAGCTGACGCGGTAGTGGATTCAGGAAGGTAGGTCGCTGGTCTGCATATCCCGTAGAAATTTGGTCGGAGCCCGCCGATGAAGACTTTGATGATGCAGGAGAATAGGGTTGATGTTGAGAGGGCGTAGCTGAGGCCTGTGAACTAGGTTTTTGGAACTCAATAGTTAGTCGAGATGGAACTTTCTTCAATGTTTGGAAGTGTTCTAGGGCGCAGAGAAATACTTACCGATGCATCCCAATTGTAGTAGTCTCTAAGTACCCATAGATTCATGACTAGCATGATGCTGCTAGGGACGAGAAACGAGATGGCTGACATCATCATGGTGTTGATGTACTCTTCTTGCAGTGGCTGTGAGTATTTCAAGCCAATAGGATGGGTCTCTATGCCCTCGAAGTAAGGGAAGTGGTGAGGGATTACGGGTGGGCACAATCTCCAGAGAAGAAGTGCTAAGATAACGCAAAGGGTTTCTGTGAGTATATTCAGCCAGCTGTCACGGCAGATTTGGCGGAACGAAGGGGCGTTGTAGTAGCCTGGCCTTAGCCAGTGGTGTTTTCCGGGGGTAAGCATGATGAAATTTTGGACGTCTTTGGAGAGAAACCGAGAATTTTTGAATGGTAGGTAAGAATTTCTGAGACGAGAAGGGATATTAGAAAGTGAAGTGTTCTCTTTTCAGATTTTGAAACGCTGTTGAAGAACTAAGCATGCAAGCACCCTGCGAAACCCTTTTCAAAACGCAAACAGGTAAGGACATTGGCCTATTGTAAACGTGGAGAATTATGGTGTGTAGTTATCTCATTGGAGAACATATTTGTTGAAACTTTTTGCGAAGTAGGTGTTGCTGTTTGGGTACCATGGCACCCGGTGGACAAAAACATAGGTACTCCACACAGGTCATCACCGAACTCAAATCGATGAAACTCCAGAGAGTTGGCAACTTTAGTGTTTTATAACAGTACCATAATATTATTCTTACTATTATTCCTTGAGCGAATTGTCTTCGCAATATACTAGAAAATTGTGGGTGAACGGTACTGTCGACTACATGGAGTACATCCCATTTTGAAATACCCATGCTTTTGTCCACCAGGTGCATGGGAAGAAATATAGGGTGGCTGGGTCCAGGTCATAAGTGTGATAATAGAGATGGATGAATTAAAGAGAGATTCCATTGAACTAGTCGTTCTCATCCAACACATGTCCAAACGACATTCTCACCCATGCACGCGCTTGGTTGTATCCCATGACATACCCGTAATTTCCACATTGTTTTCCGTGTCTTTTAAGTGCCAACGATTCGTGATTTATGCTGCCCGACAAACCCATATTCAGGTAACAACAAAATGAACACGACTCCCACATATCCGCTTACCAGGTCGTAGAGACTTGGGGATACTCCTTCCTGCTAATCTTGAGGTCATCGTAAACGGAATCATCACCTGATAATCAGTTAGCACCTGTGTTGTTAAACATATAACATAAAACCCACCATGAAGATGCTCGACACGAAGCTCGTCTTCATGCTCGAGCTTCTCAATCTCCTCGAGTGGCGTTTCCTTATCGTGTTTCTGGTCCTTCGTGGTAGGCTTGACACCCGACTCCAGCTTCTCGCCAATAAGCAGGATCTGGCAGTACTCATAGTCAAGATACTTCGGCTTTGCTTCAACCCAAGCTAGTCCACGGAACTCTTCGATGAATCTGTCCCATGATCAGTATGTCATGCTTTCGTGATATCAAGCACACTCACTCTTGAGGGAAATTAGGTTTTTGAGGGAGTTGAGCTTGGGCAGGTCCACTTCGCTCAGGGTTCTTGACGCTGATGATGAAGCTGCCCTGATCCTTGATGCCCAGATCATCCTGCACCTCACCAAGCTCCGAAGGGATAGTAGTAGAATAGACAAGATGACATGTACGGTCCTCAGTACGTGTGATTGCGTACACACCCTCAGCCACTGGAGCAACGGGTTCAATGCGCCGACTGCCCTGTGTCTTTGTGTTGTACTCTTCCGCACCGAAGAAGTCCTTCTTTAGCTCCTTTATGGTAACGTTTGCTTTCTCCACAAAAGCCATGAAACGATCATTGTGCGACTTTGGGAAAATCTTCTTTGGAAGCGCGAACAGACGATTGTTGTTGTTATCCGCAAGCGCGCCTCCACCGAGTTTGGCACCTACTGGCATAGGTCGTAGGACGAAGAATGTGCGCTGTAGATCGCCTACACTTTCAGATTCTTCAATACCGACGCGGTTGCGAGTGAAAAAGTAAATGACGCCTTTTTCAAGAATGTTTGACGGAACCTGCTTTTCACGCTGCGATGATTCCTCGATCGCGCCCTCTCCATTGGTGACTGGTTCTTTTGGAGTATCGTGCGAATCATTTTCTTGTTCGTCTCGTGTCGTTGTAGGCGCTTTTGACTCAGTTTTGGAATCGTTATCACCCTGTTTCTCGGTATCAGATGGCTTTGTGTCGTCGCCGTTGGACAAAGCTTGCTCATCACTCGCGTCGACAAGATCCTCATCGAACTTTTCCTCGGACTTGTCTGTTTGTGTCACAGTCTCGCCATCATCTGAGGCGTCTTTCATCTCTTCGTCTTTTTCTTTACCTGATCCCATCGTCTCCTCAATAGTAGTCTGCTTCTTCGCTGCTTTAGTTTCACGCTTGGGAGATGGCTCGACATCATGCTTCCTCTTGGTACCAGCTGCGGTATCGCTACTTTTCGTGGGGCTTGACATGTTACTGGGATTATGTGGAGAAGAGCGTGTTGCAGTCAAATGTGCAGATATTGGGTCAATTGAGTAGAACTTCGAGAATATGTTAATAGGAATTCGAACAGTGAAGAATGGGAAAGACATAAGGGTACGTACAAATGATCGCGCTGGAAGTTTGTGGCAATCGCGTCGCGTGTGTACTAGTGACGTCAATGGCAGTATTTGGCACATCAACGCGTCAGGAAGGCACGTGCAGCAATAGCCGCCAGAACAAAGTTGCGATCAATCATCGTGGTTGTCATAAGAATGAAACGTGCGAAGGCGAATGCGATTGCTTACAGCAAGCATGGCCTGTTACGCCTCTGATGAAGCACCAAAACAAACACAACAGCCTATCTATTTAACACGGAGTATCGACCAGAGGCAGTGCTTTTTTCAACCGCGCTTCTCAAGAAAATCTTTAATACCCCCTGCTATACCCTCTGGAGTTGGCTTTTCTGCACACACATCGGGAGTAAAACCAAATTGGTGTACAAGGTAGTCGCGAGTAGTCGGGCCGATGGTGGCTATGAGTATGTTCCTCTGTTCGGTAGACGCTTTTGCTCTACCCGTCTCAGCATCCAAAAGATCCAGGCTCTCGAGCATCGCCTGGCATCCGCTTGGGGAGAATACAACAACCCATTGACGTCCGAAACCCCTCTTGGTGTTGTCTTTCCAAATGGCCGAAAAGTTCTCCTTGAAAGACTGCATCTCTCCGGTCTCGTATATAACCAATTCGTCTACTTTTGCTCTGATGTTTGGCTTCAGCTCCACCGACTGGAGCGTTTTCGGTATTATATCCCTTCTCTTATCTCCGACCATAAACAGAACAGGTGGGTTGGGACCATCTGGATAAATGGCGTTATAATGTTGCAGGATAAAGCCAGCCAGGGCTTCACCATTGCCGGTTTCTTCACCTAGGATCGGGCATTTAAGACCTAACGCTCGCAGTCCACGCGCGGTAGCCGGGCCTACGACATAGAGTGGCAGGCTCTCTGGAAGCAAGTCGTCAACCTGGTAGGTTCCTTGGCTGCGAATTTCTTGGATGACCTCGGTGAACGCCTCAACTGCCCGCTGCGAGGTGAATATCAGGGCACCGTATGTCGCAAGGCCTTGTTGCGATTTTGGCACCAAGCCTCGGCTGGTGACATGCTCGCGTACCTCGCGCAGGGCGTCTCGCTTGAACCTGTGCTCCAGCACTGGCACAAAAACAGGAGCGTAGCGGCCATTGTCGAGGCCAAAGAATAGCTCTTCGTATGTGTCCGTGGGTACCGACTTCGTTTTGAGCAACAAGATGGGGACACTGCCCCGCGATTGCTCCGCCATCCTGTACTTTGGTGGGTGAGGTTCGAGGCCCCCGGTGAATGTTCGATGGATGGAGAATGCGGCACTAGCCCATCCGCTAAAATTCGGGAAAAGTTGCCAACATTCCGCGGTTCACTCGAGACCCTCGATTTTAATAGTTGTCCTCCCCACCGCTCTTATTGTCCACCCTCACCCTTTGGTGGTCAACGCAACTCGCGCAGACTCTCCTCTACCGTCGCATTACATCAGTCAACTCGTCAATCCAATTGACTGCATAGCAGACATGGCCGACGTTGCAACTCCCCCCGCCGCCCAGAAGGCCACCGCCAATGGCTCTGCCCCGCAAGGCAAGCAGCAGATCGTCAAGCCGGACAAGCCTGACGAGGAGAAGTACAAGGAGGAACTTGCCAAGCTTGAGAAAGAGCACGCTGCGGCTCAGGAGAAGCTGGTAAGTAGATCGAGTCCGCTGACATAGACACTGATGGACCGTCGGGTACCTGCATCACATGCAGACATAAGGGTCTGACAACCGGTACTGACCATTGCTAGAACGCCTGCAAGGCTAAGCTCGATAATGCAAAGCCGAACAACAAGGACTCGCCCAATGCCAAACGCCAGCAGGAGCTCAAGACCGAGCTCAACGCCATCCGCCAGACACAACAAGGAAACAAGTCCGGCCGTAATGCCATTTTCGAAAAGATCAAGAAGCTCGACGACCAGCTTAAGCAGCAGTTCACCGAACTCAAGACCGCAAAGGGCAAGTCGAACTACAAGTCTGTTGAGGAGGTTGATCAGGAAATTGCACGTCTGCAGAAGCAAGTCGACGGTGGCATGATGAAGCTGGTGGATGAGAAGAAGGCCCTGGCCGAGATCAGCGCCCTTAACAAGGCCCGCAAGAACTTTTCCGGCTTCGACGCTCAGCAGAAGAAGATTGACGACATCAAGGCCCAGATCGCTGAGCAGAAGAAGCTCCTGGACGATCCCGAGAACAAGGCCCTCAGCGACAAGTACACCAAGCTTCAGACTGAGCTGGATGCTCTCAAGGCCGAGCAAGACGAGGCCTTCAAGAACCTGCGAACGCTTCGTGAGCAGACGGACAAGGCTCGCGCTGAGCAGCAAGAGAAGTACCAGGCACGAAAAGACCTCAAGGATGCATACTTCCAGCAGCTGCGCGCATACAAGACGTACGAGTCCGAGGCTCGCAAGATTCGCTTCGAGAAGAGGCGTCAAGAGCAACTCCAGTACGTTGCAAGCAAGCGCAAGGAGGCTGCCAGCAAGCGTCTCGAAGAGGCCAGCACACCTGCTTACGGCGACGAGATCATTGCTGCCGAAGGCTTGATCCGTCACTTCGACCCATCCGCTCTTCCACCCAAGGAGACCACTGCGGCGAGCAAGTTTGCTGCTTCCGCTCAACGCACTGTCGACGAGTCCGGTTTGAAGGGTACGCGCATCTCCAAGAAGGATACCGAGGAAGAGAGCTACTTTGTCGGCACTGGCGGAAAGAAGGGAAAGAAGGGCAAGAAGGGCGGCGCCAGCTCTGCTCCTGCCAAGTTCAACCTCAACATTGGCATCATTGAGGAATTGGCCAAGGTTGGCGTTGAGGCTCCCTCGAGCCAAGAAGACGTCCCTGCCACCGTCGAGAAGCTTAAGGCCAAGCTTGCGCACTGGAAAGAGGACCAAGACCGCAAGACCAAGGAGGTAAGTCTGCCTGCGAGCTACCTTGCTGTCACAGAGCTAACATAGACGACAGAACATTGCCAAGGCACAAAAGGAAATTGAGCGTCTTGAAGCAGAAGAGGCGGAGGAAGAGGCTAGCGGTAGCACTGACGCTGCGCGCAAGCCTGCCCAGAAGAATCAGGCGGTCAACGGCAATGCATCTGCAGAGGCTGAACTTGCCCAAGAGAAGGATGCCGCTGCTGATGCTGCTGAAGACCTCAAGAAGGCGTCGCTCGAGGACAAGGAAGCCGCCGCTGACGCATAGAGCACACAAAGTGCCGCCTGTCATGAGGGATCTAGTCCCTCCAAAAAAAGGGTGACATATCCGGGGCATCTGTATAGTCTGGGATCTAGCCCGATTCTTTCTTTTTAGCTTGTGGTCGGGACATTCTCCGCTGTTGTTTATGGGATACCAGCATGGCATTGGACGGGGTCACGGCGTGGGGTACGGTACTTTCCTTCTAGACGCACGGCAGATCTAGATGGTCAATACCACTATCTGATATTCTTAAGCTCACGCTAAATGATGCGGCTCGCAGTTGGCTGGACTGATCGCCGGTGTGATGTTCAAGCCCACGTTCCTTTTTGGCCTACCGCTCTTGTCGTACCTGAACCATTACTAAGAGACATGACGCAACCACTGATCCTTTGGGTAAGCCCAGCATTGTTTCGCAAAAGTAGATCCGGTTAGCTGTCTAATTGCTCCTCCCCACCTAGCAGCGGGGTGGGCAAACGCGACGGGACCATGTGACGTCACCACAGCGTTGTCACTACATAGTCGTGCCTTCTCGTGGACCTCTCCTGCACCACACCACCTGCTCCCAATAGTCCTTTACTCAGGTATGATTGCATCTCGCTTTCTTCATCGTTGTGCTGCACCAGCTGCACGAAGATTACCACGAACGTCGTGTTTACAGAAGCTGACGCCATCTTCACAGCTATCCAAATCACTTACTTCTCAACGCGTCTTCTCCAACACTACCTTTAACATGTCTGGCTTCAGCAATGCGGATACCGGCTCCAAGACTGCCGACCCCTACACTCAGAAGAACCTCGAGGAGCCTTCTCTGAAGGAGAAGGTTGAGGATCTGTTCAGCTTCGTCGACAAGACCAAGTTCTGCCTCTTGACCACACAAGTTGCTGACAGCGATCTTTTGGCTTCGAGAGCAATGGCACTTGCTGCCAAGGTAAGCAACAAGCAGTACCCATTGATGTAGCACCGCTAACGAATGCACAGGAAGGACACGGCTTCGATCTCCTCTTCCACACCAACACTGAGTCTGGCAAGACAGATGACCTGAAAGAACACGCGTCGGTCAACATTGGCTTCATCAACAACTCCGGAGAATGGGCTTCCATCTCTGGCCATGCAACCATTGAGACTGATCGCGAGGTTGTCCGCAAGCACTACTCGCCAGCGCTCAAGGCCTGGATCGGCGACCTCGGCGACGGCAAGCATGACGGCGGTCCAGAAGACCCACGCATTGGCATCATCCGTGTCAAGGCCAGCACTGCTCAATACGCCATATCCAAGAAGACCCAAGTCGGCGGGCTTATTGAGCTGGCCAAGGGTATCGCGAGCGGCGAGTCACCAAACGTGAACAAGCTGAGGCAGATCTCTGAGGCGGAGATCCAGCAGTACAGGTCTCAATAGACGTGGTGAAAATTTAACGGATGCTTCTATGGTCTATGTAATTACAAAAATACCTTGATACGTTTACGATCGATATAATGAATGCAGAGTTACGGCCGCACAGATTTGGTTGCGATAGTGCCACAAGTGTCAAAGTGATGCAGTGACAAATGTGACGTCATATCAACGCGTCTTCACATGGAAAAGCACGCAAAAGGTTGCGCGATGCAAGTACATAAAGCAGCCGCCTCCCGACGAGCACGCAATGGGCGCTTTTACTCGGCACGCTGATCGACAACATGGAAGACCCAGGTTTGTTCCAACTCCTAAGTTTACAGCTCTTGCTGACGTGAAATCGCCAGTCAAGGAAATCCCGGCGGTGATCCATCTCCTCACACAATCACCGCCCTCTCTACAGCGCGCAACAATTGAGAAGTACTTCACGCCAGACGCAGCTTTCTCACATCCGTTCTGTAGAACATGGAGCGGGCCAAACTCTCGATGGCTGGTCGACGCGACCTACCGTTGGTACAAGATCATGAGCCCCAGAATTGATCTGACGGTGCAGAGCGTCGGTATGTTGCGTCGCACATCCCATACGGCTTATACGGATCTAGGCACTAATTTCTGTTGGTAGCATTCGACGAAGCGAACTTGACGCTCTATGTGACAATCTTCCAAATCTTCCGCATCTGGGCAGTGCCCTTTTACTACGCGCCGGTCCGTCTGACCACGGTTCTCAGCCTACGCCGCTCACCTTCGACGGGTAAATACCTGATTGAGAAACAAGACGATCTTTACCAAGTAGATCAATGGATACGCTTCATTGCACCCGGGGGCTGGGTGCTGATCTGGATTTGGCAAGCTTGGGCTACCCTGTTTTGCGTGCTAGGCACATGGCTGCTGTGGCCAGTAACATGGGTCGAGGAGAACTGGGGTTGGGGCGAGGGCATAGGGGTGGAGAGTAATAGGGAGATGAGAAAGGCTGGAGAAAAGGGTGAGATTAGGAGTGATGGACTGACCAAGGACGAAGTGCTGCAGATGACAACGTTGAGAGGCAAGGTTCTTGGGTGATTGGTGGAAGTGACTAAATCATTGCAATCTCGACTGACCGGTGGGTATCACTCTAGTCACGGTATTTTGATATGTCTCGTTCCGGTATTTTCGCTGTCTCGGGAACTAAGCGACGACGACCAATGTATGGCCACAATGAAACCCGGTATTTTCAAATTAAGAACTCGCGTCACGAATGGAGCATGACAGGCTAGCGGAACGGAGCTGTCCGGCTACCTCGATTGTATGCTAGCCATCCACTGCCTCTAATTCGCGCCACATCAAGCCACAGCGAGCCCATTGTGCATACTTGCAAGGATAGATAAGCTGATAAGAATAGAGCAGCTTATTATGGCGAGTATGATAATGAAACAGACCCCAGCTTCGGACACAGCTGCCTCGGCATGTACAGACTTGGATATTCCACGTCACGAAGTTGAAACGAAGCAAAAAGGGAATGCATAACTTCCATGTCACCACATCTGCTCGCCTTGGAGATGCGAGACTTTGGGCGTAATCATGAGGGTTTGAGGCGTGGAGCCAAGCAAGGACAGGGATCCCCAGCTCGGAAACGGAGCAGCTGTGCGGCTTGGCTATCCACTGGCAGCGGTAGAACCATAGTGTTCGTGTGCGGATCCCGGTGTTTGTTGACGTGGCCTTGAGGGGCTTGTTGCATGCTCTTGGGTTACCAGAAAAAAGACGGCAGAAACACTAGTGACTGGCCCGCTGGGCTGAACGGGTACATCATCAGAATGCGCGTCGATCGATTTAGCAGAAGGGAGGAAGCGTAGTTGAAGACACGGCTTCGGGCAATAGGGCCCACGTGGTGGGGACAAGTCGCTTGACGGCCTCTATCCACCACTATTGGGCAGCACCGCGCACTTCCGATCCACACCGGAAAGACGTCCTGCTTGCTCTGCATGTGCAAGGCGGTGACTGTCCGGCTCGAATATTTTTCATAGTGGCCTCGTTCAGCCTCGAGTGCGCTCTCCTCGTCTTCCACATACCACAAACCGCCATGGTCATGGCGCACACCAGCTGCAACGAGCCACCGGCGTCGAACCGTACCACTATAGAGACCGTTTGCTTAGTTTACCAGTCTCAGTTTCCTCCGTCACACGACATGTACTACTGATCCCTCCAGCATGCAAGGAGTCGCATACTGCTCTGCTGCCCACTGTGCCATCCCCTCTTCGGCAGATTTTTGCCCACCAGGCCACTCACTGTCAACAAAAAATATATACATATCAGATACATTGCCACGAGCGCGACCTTAGCTGACGGCAGCTGACCCTCGCAAGCACTACTTAGCATGGTGCGTTGATAACGAAACAATGCCTTCTCGAGCCAACTCTCTGATGGCCACTGAGACTGACCTGAATTGTGCTGTCTTGTAGTCGGACCGGGCCTCATCATTCGAGGGCGCTCAGTCCCCTTCACGGCATCGCAACCCTACCACAGACGATCCCCAATATCACTACGACAGCCTCCAAGAAAAAGAAGTCGGTGTGGCTGCTAGTGGACCCCACATTCGACGCAGGCCATCCCGGACCACTTCGGGCACCAAAGGCTCCCCGCCCTCTTCCTCCCTGTCTTACAACGAGGAGCAAAACGAAGACGACAAGAAGAACAAAGCAGCCCGCACCACTCTCAAGAAACTTTTAAGACGCGACTCACACCAGGGTGAATTGTCACCTACGCTGCGTGGCGGGCAAGAAGAGTTGGACGAAGAGGGAAGTACCGTGGGATATATACCCAGACTCGGCCAAATACGAGAGAAAAAGACCACCATGCAATCAAGACGTCGAGGAAGTTCCATTGTCAGCTCTACAGGTCAGCCCAGAGCGCTTCGTCGGCGACACACAGAAGACAGTGCTGCAGGTCGCTCACGCGTACAACGTAAACATAGCTCTCTCCACCGCCACGGTGGGAAGCTCGCCGAACTGTCCGAACCATCGTCAGCCTCGAGCGTGTCACAGCAATCGAGCAATTCCAGTGGAAGTAACTCAACAGTGACGCAGAAATCCCGCGAGGACGACGGCTACCCATACCAATACGAGATGACTGCGGAGAGGCAAAGTCCTACTAGTTCCATGATGAGTGCCACTGAATCAGATGTCTTCAAGTATCTCCAGCCGGATAATGACACTGAGAATCCTACAACGGCATACCTGCAGGGCTTCGTTCCGTCGATCAGTGCTCCTTCCTTTTTGCCCTCCCCGCCTCTGACTGACTCCAACTTGAGCGATAAGCACCCATCCGCAGCAGGAACAGATTCCAATGGATTAGAAATCCCTTCACAAACATTAGAACAAAAATCCAGCCCAATGGTGTCTCAGCTTCCTCATCAAGAGTTTCGCAAGTTCAAAAAGCCACTGTATGCTAGCAGCTTTGTGCATGGGCCTAGGGATGAAGACGAAGAGACAGTCGCCCAGAGCGGAGAGAGTGAAGGTAGTTGTACGGAAAGTGAAGAAGAGGCCAAACCCAGCGTTAAGTCGTCTAAAAAGTCTAAAAAGTCTAAAAAGGTCACAAATAAGGTTTCTCCACCCCGGGCGCCATCTACATCATCCCGCGGTAGCGACCTTCATGCCAGACGCCTAAAGCAACAGGAGCGAGAGCTAGCCAATCACATATTGAAGAACCCCAAACCACAAAAGGGATTCCAATTCAATGGAGGTACACCCGGCCAGGTCTATCCACCTACGCCCATGTACAGTCCTCAGGTATACTCTGGCGGATCTCCATCAGTTATAAGCAACGGTGCAGCAAACTCACCACAGGGTTGGTCGCCTATGCACACGTTTCCAGCCCCATTGGCCATTGGCTATGCACCACACCAATCCCCAGAAGTCGCTCACGCATATCCACACAGTCTGGTCAAACAGATACCACAGCCGTTCTCACCTCATCCAGCCCAAGCGCAACCTTATCAGCAACACGGCCCGGCATCTACTCAGACCAAGCCGGCTCTAACAGGCTATGAGCTTCTGGCGAACGAACTTAGCGCACCCTCGCAAGGTGAGACAGCACGGGAAGTCAACCTCGTACCCGTGTACCGTAAGTTTGAGCACCTAAATCACCGGGTGCTGTTGCACCTACAAGACGAGATGAGCGAGCTTGAAGAAGAGCTGCGTACGCTGGACCGATGCATTGCGCAAATGTCGCCCAAGGATCCCTCAGGTCACGCGTATCCTGCGTCTCGACGAAACGACGCGCGGTACGGCGGCGAGTCGCACTTCAAGAGAACCGAGCTGCTGGGTCGCATATTCCAGAAACTGGAACAGTACAGTAAGTTGCAGTTGCATTGCCAGGAATATGTGCATGTTATATCATGGAAAAATAAGCTTGTTACATTTTTAGCATGACAAGATGGGGTACATGAGAGACAGGAGAAGAGAAAGATCGTCGTTGACAGCTTATTTTTATATACACGCAAAGAAGAGGGTTTCTCTTAGTGTCATTTACTAACTTGAATCGCAGATAAAGCTCTGTCCTCTTTCGGCGATGTGTCGAGCAAGCTCCGTCCAGCCGGGGAAGACGATGTGGCGCGATATCGTGAGTGGATGGATGAGCACGAGCCGATTGATTATGCAGAGAGTCGCTTTCTGGAGCGCGCGTCTGACCTTGTCACCGTGCCGGGCTCGGCGGCGGCTACTACTACTACTACTTCGACGACGGCAACAATGGCAGCGGCGGGCGAACAAGGGGCCGGGCATCATCAGTCAGCAGCCGTGTGGTTCCCGCTGATATTGGCGGTGCCTCTGCTGGCGTTTACTATAGTGCCGAGCCTACTGGGGCGTCTGGTCGTTATCGTGCTTATCGTCGGGGTGGAGCTTAAGATTATCTCTTCGGCACCCGAGATACAGCGTTTCTTGTCGCTTCAGGAGTGGAAGGCTGCAGCATCGGTGTAAGTGGTCTTTTATCTCTCTCTCTCTCTCTCTCTCTCTCTCTTTCTTCCCTTTTTGTTTCCCTCTTTCGCAAAAAGTCTACCGGAGTACCCTACGTACACGGCCCTTTGTACGGCGCGCAAATGATGTCGTCACATGTCGACATGGGGGGTGCAGCGGGCAAGGGCTACATGGATCCAAGGTTCGCGGGGAGTTTTATTTCTTTTTCGCTCAACGTCCGCACAAAACACAGCCTAGTGCCAGGAACCCAGTCTCGTCTGCCCTGCCCCCCTCTCGCTCGCAACCCCGAACCCAACGGGAGATTCCATGAGCAATAAAAGACGGGGTGTGTATATGCGCGCGCGCACGCGTGGGTGTGTGCGTACATGAGCCTTCAAAGTGGCAGAACCAAACACACGGAAAATGCGTCTTTGCCTATCTTTTTATCCGGTGGAACCAGTTCGCATAGAAGACATACGATATACGCGCAAGCGCGTGCGTGTGCGCGCATATACTATATCCCCACGCTACTGGTCGACCGAACCGTTCCCTGAGGGCGTTGCCGTGGGAAGAGAAAAAAAGGGAAATAAATGAGAGACTCCAAGCAAAAAAACCAACCACAAACAACAAGATCAAGAAAAGGTTCAAAGGCTAACGCTAGAGGCGCAAAACACAGTTATTTCGGGCTGAACGTGCTCCTTGCAGCCGTGGTGCGTTAATACGCCTGACTCGCTGGTGCGCGCCCTTTTTTGTGGGAAAGGATGTGGTGGATGGGTTAGGTTGGCCAAAAAAATGTGGGGGGCAGTAAGTAAGTGGTTTGGCGCAGGTGATCGCCAATAATCGTTTTTTTCTCTCCTCTCTCTCTTTCTGGTCTCTTTCGCTCTCTTTGCGCTCTTTTTGGGTGCGGCGCACGGGCCCAGGTACAGGCTGTGTGTGCTGCAGCATGTGCTGAGAACGACCATCCCCCCTCCACGAGCTCGCTTTTGGCACGCACGCACTCAGCAAGCTTGGGTGCCTGTGCCCTTGCTCGTCCACCCACCCACGCCCCTCCCCCTCTCCCCTCCACCCCCCCCAGTCTGACCGAAGCAAGGCCAAGTGTGGAGTTGTTCCGATCACCGTTTGGGCTGGCACGTATTTTGTTTTGCGGTGGGCGTTCATGGCGTCATGGTTTGGCTTGCAGGCGGGGGAGTTTTCCTCTTTTATAAAAATAATGTTTGTTATGACCCTTATGACTGTTGTTTATTCATTTTATTTTATTTTATTCACGATGGTTTTTTCTTTGCGCTGTTCATGGTGGTCATTATAAACGCGTGTATACATACTATTGTCGGCAGGGCGCAGCACGTATTTGGCTTGATAGCGGTTAGCAAAAAAATGGAAGGTGGTGATTGGAGGTGCCACAAACGTCGCTTGGATTGGCTTTCGGGATCATTTTTTCCTTGAGTTTATCTCTCTAGACTGGACCCATGGTTCGCAAAAGGCTGCTTGCTTGGCCAGCGCCGCGATGCCGAGCTCTATACTATGTAGTTTTAAGGCCAGATGCATACGCATGTTGTGATGGCGCGGCTCCGGCAATCGGGCAGGTTGGCAGACAATGCTTGAGACGGATGTACATATGTCGGCATGTACAGACATGGATGGCGGCGACACTACTGTATGTAGTCGGCACGTAGCGGGTTTGGTAGCTTGTGCCCGCTGGTCGCAATCAAGTGGCGCAGTGGTATTGGTCGCGGGAGTGTGGTACGGGCTAGGCCATGACAGTCAGTCAGTCAGTCAGTCGGACGGCAAGACTTGGTGTTCGTGTAAGATTTTTGTGGAGGTGGTGGTGATGGTAGTAGTGGCACGCGCGTTTCTCCTTGATGAAATGTTAAGATGTGCATCGGACCGAAAAGAATTGAATCAAGATGCCGGGTCGATCGGTGACAGCATGGTTTATCACCAGGTGTCACGACAAAGGTTCGGTGTTTGTCGCGGATCTGGGCGGGACACAGAGGTGAGCTGAGCGGGCAAGCAGGCAAGCAGGCAAGTAAGCAGGATGGTTTGGCGTCGGGTCATAGCGACGGGCCAGTAGGCTAGCTGATGTTGGCATCTTGGGCGTGGGAGTGCGAGAACGCATGCAGCGGCAGCGTGTGCGACGACCCTTGGAAGACTGTCAGTCGGGACGCGGTAGCCACCTCCACAGATGGTGCCGCGGCATTGCCGTGGACTGGATGCCAAAACAGGGCGCGTGTGGGTAAGCATGTTTCTCAGTCGGGCAATGCCTCAGATAGATGCATGAACCTGGGGCCACGCACAGAGGGCGCGTGAGACGGATCAGCGGCAGCGGCAGTATGTAGTTAGTTAGTTAGTAAGTAAGTAAGTACTGTAAGTAAGTAGTAGGTAGGATTAGTGGACAAAGTATGTGTATAGTAAGTAAGTACTAGGAGGAGGTGCAACAACAACAACAACAACAACAACAACAACAAACGTCGGCGCAGAGCCCACTCGTTCCTTGACAGCTGACGGACAGAGGCCGAAAGTCAAAATGACGGGCGAGGATGTTGGTGGGTGGGGGTGCGGTAGTGCAGTTAGTGCAGTAGTTGGTGATGAGGGTGTGGTGGTGGTGTGGGCTTGTCGGCTCGCTAGTGCTGCTAGCCAGGAACGAGAGGCGTCGCTTGGAGAGGGCCTTGGCCGCTTTGGGCGCAGAGGGCCGGGGTTTAGGGGAAATTGAGCGCAGGTGACCAGAGTTTCAGAATGGCCCTGTTGTGCGCTCAAGGGGCGTGCAGACGATGGATGCCCTGCCGCCATGGCCCCTTGTGAAGCTCTCCCTAGCTCCCAGACTTTGGCCTCAACAGTTGCTGCGTCCAGCACAAAGAGTCCTTTCTGTCTCTCTTCATCTTGTCTCTATATCCACAAGCGCCACCCCTTTGGCCGGCCGCCCGTCCGTCCCACTTGCGCTGCGGCCTCGTGCATGCTCTCCACACACCCAAAGCCCTGGCCCACTTGTCATCACCCAGCCCATGCCGACTCGAGCGACTGAAACATCTGCTCCTTCCCGCCCATCCATCGCTCCTGCCCGCTGTCCTTGACCTGCAAAAGCCGCCCTGCAACACACACACCCACATCCACACCCACACCAACTACCCGACCATCACCCTGTACACCCACTCCACCCACCCACACACACACACACCCTCCCTCTCACACACCCCTCCCCCTCGACTCCCCACTCTGCACTCCACTCCACTCCACCCTCTCTATTCTCTTGTGTCTGTGTCTGTGTGTGCGCGCGCCTTCTCTCTTACTACTCCCTCCGCCCTCTCCCTCTCTCCCGCACCCACACATACACATACACACCCACACTCTCGCACACGCCACACGTCCCTGTCCACCCGTCGTCGGCCGCCTTCACTTCACCCCCCTCGCTCCAGAGCATACTACGCCCAGGCCCACCACCGCGCCGTCGCTCTTCTGGAATGTCGCAGCTGCACCTCTGTCCACCACTCACCGTCTGAGCTCCCCCGCACCATTTCGCGTCTCGGGCTCCCTCGCCCTTCCATTCGCCAGCCCTCCACCGCCGCTTTCCAACGCCCATCTCACGTAAACTAGTCCTCACAGCCTGTTCCTCGCCGTCTCCCCCCTCCTTCCTCCGATAATTGTACCTTTGTCGCCCTTCGCTGCCACACCACTGCCTCCTAATTAATCGCCGAGCCCTGCTGCCGCCGACTCGCTGGACGGGCCCTCCCGCTGCAATTCCACCGCAGACGCCGGCCCACGGCCTTGGACCAGCGTGGCGCACAAACAAAACCTCCCCTTTGCTCCCACGCTTTTGCTATTTCGCTAGCGCCGCAACACACACACCCTCCCTTTCTGGCCCTGACCGCACCCCAAACCCCCTCTCTCCCAGGCGACGCTCAGCATGGCTGTCTCCATGCTACATGCCCCCTCGCGGGCATCGACGTCGTCGTCATCGTCCTTCATACCCGTCTCGCGCCAGAACACAATGTCGTCGCACGATGGCTCGCGCTCAGTGCGCCAATCCAAGCGCTACTCGGTCACGGCACTGTATCTGTCCATGTCGGCAAAAGACAAGGAGCTGGAGATTGAGGATGACCTGGCTCGAGGTATGTCTGCCATGTTCAAGTCTTTCCGTCTTGGTTCGCCGGCTAACTCGTAGCAGCACAGAAGGTATTGCGCGAATTAAAGGCAAAGATTTCGTCCCAGTCCAAGAAGAATTTCGTTCTGGAAAAGGATGTGCGATATCTCGACTCGCGGATAGCACTCCTCATCCAGAATCGCATGGCGTTGGAGGAGGTGCGTCTCCATGGTTTTCCTTGTATACGTGCTTGATACTGACGATACGCGCAGCAAAACGAAGTCGCAGACCATCTCGCAGACGGCCTTGAACTCCAAGAAGGATTTTTCCCAAACGACGAAAAGACACAAAAATATGGCAACCTGCTATTTTTGCTCCAGTCCGAACCCCGGCACATTGCGCACTTGTGTCGCCTCGTCTCCATGGCCGAGATTGATGCGCTACTGCAGACAGTCATGTTCACAATTTACGGAAACCAGTACGAGAGCCGAGAAGAGCATTTGCTCTTGACCATGTTTCAGGTACGTTGCGCAACATGACTCTGGTAGATCATAACTAACCATGCTATAGTCTGTTCTTACATACCAGTTTGACAATACCCCAGACTATAGTTCGCTCCTGCGCGCAAACACCCCCGTCTCGCGCATGATGACCACGTACACCCGGAGAGGACCTGGTCAGAGCTACCTCAAGGTAGTCCTGCAGGACAGCATCAACTCGCTTATTGAGCTCAAGGATCTGGACCTGGAGATTAACCCCCTGAAGGTTTACGAGAAAATGGTCACTGAACGCGAACTCCAAGGAACTCTGCCCCCGGATATGCCAAAGGGCGTTACGGCAGAAGAAGCTGCCGAGAACGAGACGGTGCAGAACATCATCCAACCTCGAGTAAACATGCTCATGGAGATTGCCAACAATTTCCTCACAACCATTATCAAAGGTCTCGAAGAGACGCCGTACGGCATCCGGTGGATTTGCAAGCAGATTCGAAGTTTGTCAAGACGAAAGTATCCTGACGCCCAGGATCAGACGATTTGCACGCTCATTGGTGGCTTCTTTTTCTTGCGTTTTATTAACCCTGCCATTGTTACTCCTAGATCATACATGCTCATTGATGTTCTGCCAGCGGAGAACCCCAAACGAACGCTTACATACATTGCAAAGATGCTGCAGAACCTTGCAAACAAGCCTTCGTACGCAAAGGAACCGTACATGGTTAAATTGCAGCCTTTTATCCACCAAAACAAGGAGCGCATCAACAAGTTCTTGCTTGATCTGTGCGAAGTCCAAGATTTCTACGACACCTTGGAAATGGATAACTATGTTGCATTGTCGAAGAAGGATCTTGAACTATCTATTACACTTAATGAAGTGTATGCAACACACTCGCTCTTGGAGCGACATGCAGCAGAACTCGTAAGTTTGCGATGATTGTGGCAGCGGCTGTTCCCATGCTAACCATTTACAGGCAAAAGAGGATAGCTCGCACTTGGGTGTGATTCTTCAAGAGCTGGGACCAGCACCTGCTCAGCTTCCACGAAAGGAGAACCGAGCCATCAATCTTCCACTGTTCAGCAAGTGGGAGACGCCTCTTGACGACCTCACAGCTGCGCTCGACATTACGCAAGAGGAAATCTTCTTCATGGAGGCCAAATCAACATTTGTCATGATTCTCCGTTCGCTGCCTGCAAACACATCAATCACACGACGACCATTGCGACTGGACAAGATTGCCGAGGCAGCCGCCACGACAAAGAACGATTCAGTCATGGTCAAGAAGGGCATCCGCAGCATGGAGCTCTTGAGCCAGTTGCAAGAATCTGGTGTGATTGACAAGGAAGACGGGTTTTCTCTGCTCCGGGACGAAGTCGAACAAGAACTTGTCCACCTGGGTTCGATGAAGGACAAGGTGATTGAAGAGACAAGGAAGCTCGAGGAGGTTTTCCGCACCATCCGCGATCACAATGGCTTCCTGGTCAGCCAGCTTGACACGTACAAGTCATATCTCCACAACGTACGCAGTCAGTCTGAGGGCAAGACGAGGAAGCAGCAAAAGCATCAAGTCCTGGGCCCGTACAAGTTCACGCACCAGCAGCTTGAACGAGAGGGCGTAATCCAGAAGAGCAATGTTCCGGAGAATAGGAGAGCCAACATCTACTTCAACTTCACGAGCCCGCTGCCCGGTACGTTTGTCATTTCGCTCCACTACAAGGGCCGCAACCGCGGTCTGCTCGAGTTGGATCTCAAGCTGGACGATCTGTTGGAGATGCAGAAAGATAATCAGGAGGACTTGGACTTGGAATATGTCCAGTTCAACGTGAGCAAGGTCCTGGTCCTCCTCAACAAGCGTTTCGCCCGAAAGAAGGGATGGTAGACTCGTCTTCTCCCCGGGCGACACATGTCACGAACCATGTACGATACCCCCGATTGCCACTACGTATTCCCCGCTGTTTGACGCCCCCACCCAAACCACCTCATCCTTATGCTCTCCTTTTCGCCCTCGTTGGAGTACATTTCCCATGTCTACGAAACCCATTGATCAGCATCTCGGCGCCGGAGTCCAGGAGTCGATTGTGCGCTTTTTGGAGGATACCCTCTGTGATGCCGACGCGTCGTGCCGTATCGTCAGCTTGGGCGGTTTTGACCAGCCACTTTGTTGTGGAGGGTCGCTGTAGTCTTTGTTTTGTTATGTTTTTGAAAGGGCGGCATTTGCAAGCAGCCTTGCGTGCGTGTTTTCTTTTCCACAGATTCCTACACCTTCATAGTCTCTCGCTACTAATACGCATGTTGCACACGCTTCGTGGGATGGCACCGAAGGGAGTCCGGGTACCCGAAAGGAATTTTTTTTTCATGTCAGTAGTGTTTGTGGAACTTGAGTCCATGGTTTGGGTTTCGGCAGGACCGACTTGATGGATTTTTCCTTGTTTTTATTTTGTTTTTTAATTGCGCGAGCGATATCCAGATGTACGATACGAAATACCATGGTGTCAGGCCAGCGTAGTTTCCAATGCGCTGTTGTTTAATGCAATTGAGCTGCAAGGGCTCTTGTTTGTTAGTCGAGATGACTGTCGTTGGCACATGGATGACGGGGTGACTCAGAGCCGACTACTAACTACTAGATGGACATTGGCGTCGTCAAGCCGTCGGTCGATGTAATGTCGGAGCACCTGGTGGTGGGCCGATAACGGGCCATAGGGTGTCCACGGACCTTGCATACACGCTACGTCACCTAGCGGGCCACATGGCCGACGGTGGCAGGGTGTTGTCTACGGCGGACATGAGGGTGGATGTTGTTGATAAGAGATAAGGACTGGAGCCAAAGGTCCAAGGTGAAGTTGCAGTTGCATGGCGCTACCCTGATGAGTGTGCTCCTCATGCGCTCCTCATGCACCAAGCACGGGTGCCTGTCACACGTCCACGCCTGCGCCGCCGCTGCTGCTGCTGCCCCGGACCGATCGTCAGGCGGAAGCAAGGTGGTGCCGTCTGATTGGCCGCCCGCCACGTCTCATCGCCGTATGGTTGGCGGAGTCAGACACAAGGCTGCGTCGACTACCAAGTCGCTCCACACTCGTCCACCTTGCCTGTGCTTTCCTTCTTCCTTCTCCCTCACACACTCGCAACCACTCTCTCTTTCCATGATTGTGCGCATACCTTGGGCGTCTCTTTGCTAACAATTGCTACTGTCCCTTTCTATCGGGTGTTACGGCTATATCTCTCGTCTTACTACTGGGATCCCCCAAACATGTCTTCGTCATCCAATGCTATTGCTATCCCCCGGCGCAAGGGCAAGCACCCGGCTGCCTCCCGACACTCGGTCGACTCATCCTCGTCCTCGAGTGCTTCTACACCCAGCACTCCCAGCTACGCTTCTCATTCTCGCAACTACCAGTTTACCCCGACTGAGAACCGCTTCTCCTATGGCTCCTACGGCAGCTCCGCTTCGTCATCGCCGTCCAACAGCCCGCAGTCGGCGAGCAGCATGAGGCGGAGAGAGAGTTTGATGAGTGCGACATTCTCCAAGGCAGAGCATACGGTGATTAATGTTGGAGAGGAGGAATGTCCTCGTTTGGTATGGGCCCGCATTCTGCGACTACAGTTGTGTCGTGTTTCAAGCAGGACGACAGCTAACATCCCGCAGATTACATGCGTGAAGGCTAGCCAGGGATTTGATTGGAACCAGGGTATGCCACTCTCTTTCAACACTGCAGAAACGCTTGCATCGAAGCAATTAGCTGTGAATGTGTCGCTAACTGCCTCTGTCTGTGTATCCAGAAATCTTCCTTCCGTCCTACGCCGATTACCACTTTGATGACCTCGAGTGTCGCCAGGATCCTGTTCAGGATATCATACTCACAGACGAGGAGGTCAAGAACATGTTTCCGTCATAAGCATGCTATCAGCTGCACGGTAACTCGCGAGGCTGTGACAACAACACCATACTGAGGTTTGGGGTTGAATGTTGATGGTGATAATCGGGTGGATTTGGTACATATATGTTCTGGCATTATTTTGTTTGACAATGCGTTATTGGGATTATGTTGACATTGGGATGGAATGGCGTTTGGCACTGTTGTAGGCGCTGGGGGTGCATACTACATGAGGGATTGGGTCACGGTGTTACAGGATGCTTCACTCATTGTCAATGAGACATTTATAAACTCGAAGAATATAAATAAACATTTATAAATCAAACATTTGTGTATACTTGAACTGTCCAGGTGCGTCCGCTATGCTGTCTCACTCCGTACAGCACATGGGGATTCAGGGTGCATTGGCCCCACACCTCGGCACCCCCGGTCTCCCTTATCGATTAGAGCGTGGCCGCCGCAAAACGTCGCGCAGCGCGATCCATATTCCGCCGACCGCCAAACAAACAACATCACGAAAAAAACACAACAAGTCTGCAAACGTTTCTTCTCCAGCAAAAAACCACACCTTTCCCAAGCGAAACAAAGCGAGCGCCCTCTTTCCAAGATTATACGAAGAACGCTCTTTCCCCTTTTCTACCAACCCCCCCATCATCCCACAACAAATCGAGTCCCACTCCTCACCATGGACTCGTCGCACCGCAAAATCGAACTCCAATCCCCCTCAGACCTCATCTACCTCACATCGCAAATCCGGACCGCCGCCCGCCAAAAACTTGACCTGCACCTCCCTCCCGTACCCTCTGCCCCTGCCGAACCCGACGACCTCCGCCGCAGCGTCGAAGAACTCGTCGACGCGTTCGTAGCACAGGTACTACGCGGCATGCGACAAAACATTAGCATAAACGGGATTGACATCATCGGCGACGCTGACGCTGACGCTGATGCCATGGATGTACAAGGCAGAGAGGCGGAGACGGCGGTGGAAAGAGAAGAGTTTGAGGCGTTTGATGAGAAACTGAGGACTAGGCTGGGAGATGCGGTTGCGAGGCGCGATGCGCTTGTTGCCAAGATTAGTCAGCATAGGAGGGTTACGCCGGGGGTTGCGGCCAAGGCTTTTGAAGAGAGGTTTGAGAGGGAGGAGGGGGAGGGGCGGGAGATGTGGGGGGTGCTTGAGGAGAGGGTTGGGAAGGTTGGGCAAGGTGATGTGGCGGGTGTGGAGAAGGGGGTGAGACAGGAGGAGGTGCAGAGGAATTGGGAGAGGGCGGTTGAGGGGTTGCAGGCTTTGAATAAGGGGTTGCCTGAGACGAGGGCGCGGTTGGAGAGGGCGGGGGATGTGGTGGGGTATTTGGGGGGGAAGTGAAGATGTGTGCTTTGTGTTTTGTGGGGTTTCAAACGGTCATGTTGGCGTTTGTTTTTTCAAGTGGATTTTAGGGATACCCTGTTGTTGTATGCAAACATTGAATTTGTTCCGTTTTTGTCTTCTTCTTCTTCTTCTTCTTCTTCTTCTTCTTCTCCTTGAGCATTTTACATTGACCAGGACAGGGACTTTCAAAATCGACTTATATCCCGCCCAAACACCCAATTCACAACCCAATACACAGGCACAAGCACTTTATTCCGCAAACTCACCGTTCGCGTGATATACGCTCCCCGCCAGATAATCCACGCTACATAACCTTGTAATCTGCCTCCCCACTTGCCGCCGCCCTGGAACAGTGCATTCCAATTACCAATGTAGGCCAGCGTGCCTAGATCGCGGTACGTGAAGCCCTTTGCTGAACTTTGTAGGGTTGACGATTTATTCAGTTGTTTGGCGAGCCAGACGGCTTTCTGGCTTGCGACTTGCGCGGTGGCGGGATAGTTTGCTGCATCGATTGTGCCGCAGTCGCCTAGGGCGAAGACGTCTGGGTGTATTGCTTCTGTTTTTTCTGACGCGGAAGCGGAAGATGAGGGTTCTGGGGATGAAGAAGAAGAGGGAGATGAATCGGCGGGAACGAGTTTAACGCGGAGATGGGAGTCTGTTATTATGGAACCGGTTTTTGGGTCTTTTTTTACGGTCCATTGGACAGAGGAGGGTGAAGAGGATGAGGGAGAAGGGGTTATGAGGTTGGAAGGAGCGGAGCGGACGCTGGAGAGTGCGGTGTGGACGAAGGGGTTTTGCATTAGGCCTGTGCCTATTTGGAGAAGGGGAATTTGTTAGTAAAAGGGGTTTTTATGAGAGAGTAGGGAAAGAAGGACGTACTCCATACACACATGCCCACGCCGATTTCGCCTTGTTCTTTGATCTTGAGAGTATATAGGTGCGAGTCTTGGACTTTTCCTGAGTTACTCGTTTCCACGGGTGCTCCGGCACGCAGCTCTTCGACGTGATGACTCGTCTTGATGTCGATGCCTTCGCGCTTGAACTTTTGCATGGCGTAGTCGGCTAGTTTCTTATCGAACATGGGGAGAACCTTTTCGGCTACGTCGTAAACGGTGATCTTGTGATACTGGATGAGTTCTGGGTATAGCTTCTTCAAGTCTTCATTGATCAGGTCGTGGAGTTCGGCACTGAACTCGATGCCGGTTGGTCCGCCACCTACAACAGCAAAGTTTAGTAGTTGACGCTTCATGTCCACAGGAGTGGTGGGAAGGGCGGCGCCTTCGAAGCAGGCTAGAATACGGTTTCGGATTCTGCGTGCGTCGCCCACATCTTTGAGGAAGAAGGCATGTTCCTTGACACCCGGTGTGCCAAATGTCTGGCTGTAGCAGCCCACGGTAACGATCAACTTGTCGTAGTCCACATCGAACATTTTGCCCTCTTTGGTCTCCTGCTTCTTCTCAAGAGCCCTCTGCTCTGCAGTCTTTCCCGCGTGTCGGTCAGTTGTCAGCGCCACACCTTGCTTTGGATCATCGACCGCCTCTTCAATAGTAATGGTTCGATTCTTGAAATCCACATCATCAGCCCAGCCCTGCAGAAATTCCACTTTGGTCCTTCGGCTCCGGACAGGTTCTAGTGCAGTTCTGAATTCCAGTGTGCCTACTGCTGTAGAAGCAAGCAGAGGGGTAAAGGCAAAGTATGACCGGGGAGAAACAACAATAGTTTGATACTTTGAGGGGTCTAGAGCGCGGGCAACGGTGAAGCCTGCCCAGCCTGACCCAAGAATGACTACACGTTCTCGGCCTAGATATATGTTTGTCAGTCTCGATGACGGGAGTAGATAGTTGTAATGTAAGAGCGGTTGATGCATACTGTCTTTGTCTTGGTTCAATTGCTCCATCGTAATCTGTCTTTTCTGCTCCAAGCTCTTTCCACTTACCAGAGCACCACCAGCCCGACATGATGGTACTACTCGTGAGACACTCGTTCTCGAGGTTATAGACACTAGTTCCCTGACGCCAGAAGGCACTTGGGACAGGCGACTAGACAACATGATTGTCACCATGGAACGATGTTTGGTATGCCTAAAAACGGAGATTTTTTGGCATTATCTCTTATTGTATTGAATATTTTCCCCTTTTTTTGAAATTTATTTAAGGGCCGTCTTGTCCCAAGGACCGGGTACTTGCGGGTGTGACACGGAAATCGGCGACTATGACGTACCGCTGGTGCAAACTTGACGCGCCGAGCTACTACCGATGTGCGACAATTAATACGAGAGTCTCACGTGCTATTCTCAGACAAGAAAAGGACATACTGGGTGTACAAAACAATAATGATTTTGAATCTACGTTTCTCGGGGATGGTCCATCATAGAGGCAAGGTATGAAATGTCGCACCGAAAAGGGGCTACCTTGGCACTCTCCCAGCTTCTGCATTGCCAAACTTGGCGAACACACATTCTTAATTGCGTCTGAAATTTTTTTTAGGAAAAAAACGAGATCAACGTGATAGCATAGTTAAGTTATTAATTGACTATGTGTAACCCTACGAGATTCACGACGAGGCATACATACATGTGTTTGAGCAAATTTCATTCGTGTTGCCCAAGAGGGTATCAAACTGCCATCGGGCAACAAAAAGGGGTATCAAAGACGTAAAACTATGCACAGGAAAAGAGAAAACATCCTCTGGCTCCGGAACCTCTTCAACTCCAACAGGAGAAATAACCAACTGAAATGCAATCAAATTTCCCTAAAAAGTCATCTAAATCGACTTTAAAGCTCTGCCTTTCTGGTCTTTGGGCTCTTCGTCGGTTGCGGGTTCGTCGAATCGCTGGTCCTAGCACGCTTCAATCTGATGGGACCAGATGCCATGGGACCAGATGCCATACTACTCGATCCACTTTGTCGGCTAACCCGATTCTCTACGTCACGGGCACCACCGACAGGACTGTTGAATCCACTTCCACCGCCTGCGGTTGCTGCTGAGCTACCAGCAGGTATTTCCTCAGCGAGGCGATCTGCAAGTGCAGCATCGTATTCACGCTCGCTCGCAATAACAGCATTAGGATTTTGTAGGCGAGCAGTGGCCAACAGGTCAACGCTGCCATCGTCGCTATCTTCGTAATCGGAGTCTGACGCTTCAGATTGATCTGAGCGAACAGGCGCAATATTGAGAATCTGCATCGCTGTAGCCGGGCAATCGGAATCAGATTCGGGTTCAGAAGAAGCGTCAGATGCAAATTCAGAATCGATATCGCCTGAGGAACAAGAGTCGAGGGGAAGGAAGGATGCAGGCGGTAGAGTCGAGTTGGGCAAATCCTTGCGCGATGTAGAAAGAATCTTCTCTTGAATAACGCGCTGGGGACTGGACCGTGGAGACTCGGTTTCCATTGGGTCATGCTCGGAACGGAGCGCATCTTGAATGGCCTTGGGATAAAAGCTTGTTCGTTGGCGAGCGGCAACGTGGGAAGGTACTATTGGTATTTGCGAGCGACGAACATGGATGGAGAAGTTGTCCTCCGGCTGTACACCACCAATACCAGAAGCCTCAAAGTCCATGAGCTCCGGACTGGTGTTGCCACTATTATCCCTCAGGGCTTCTGGAGAAAAGCTCATGTTGTCTCCACTAGAGACGGTGCGTGAACCGTTGTTTG